GCACAATTTAGCATTAGCGTACTTGGTCAAAATGTAGATCAAATTTTGAACTATGTACTTCGAAAGGTCACACGCAGGTCACTGATAGTAACGTGATGGTAACTTGATGGCAACAGATAGTAACATGATGGTCACACCTAGTCACTTAATAGTAACGGTATTTTTGTGACAAGTTGGGCCTTCAAGGTGCCCAGGTTGTATGTATAAAATGTTGCAACTTTCTGAAGTTGCGATTAAAAAAGTTGCGGCACCTGTGAAGTTGTACTCTTGAAAAGTTGCAACTTTCCAAAGTTGGGTACAGGAAAAGCTGCAACTGTACAAAGTTGCAACCGGGTCAGTGCGAAGTTGCAACTATGACAACTCGAAGTTGCAACTATGACAACTCATAGTTGTCCTCAGAAAGCTCTGCGCGGAGTTAAAGTTGCCCCTGACTAAGACTGAAGTTGTCCTCAAGAAAAGATGCATTTCTCCAAAGTTGTCACTTGTGATGAGTCAAGTTGCACCCCAAAAAGTTGTAATGTTTTGCAAGCTGTATACACGAAAAGTTGCAACTTTAAAATGTTGTCCCTGAAAAAGTTGTTGCATTGCAGAGTTGTAGTTGCACAAATCCCAAGTTGTACTTGTACCTTTACCGAGTTGTACCAAAAAAACTTGTGAAATTGTGCTAAGTTGTCCAAATACTTTCTGCACACTATGCCTGCCATACGCTCACCTGACTCCGTGACACAGCGCGCAAAGCGCGCGTCACGGTGGCATCACTACTATTCTTCGTACCACCACCAAGTTTCAACACATTTGGATCTTCTGCTTCCAATCCACACTCTGCCACCAAGTGGTGGACATGCTTTAAATGTTGCCTGCTACGCCGCTGTCAGGTGCTGACAGTCTGTCTGTCAGTACAACTACACGCTGATCGACCTAGTGGCATCTTTCACAGTGCGCCTCGTCACTCAGCCTTGGCGTGACGGGCACTACGGCCTTCCACGAGCGCGCAGCGCACTACGACACGACACCACCGCCGGGACAGCTCAACACTGTTACGTGATGTGCAGCGCCGCCGTACGATCCCTGTTCGCCATTGTCTGTTTTGACCGAGCACGTCATTAGCGACAACCAGCCGAAGTAAGAAATCCAACAATTTGTACGTGAACACAACCATTTACACACTCACACACTCATAGGTACAGTTATGACTCTAGAAATAAATTCCGAAGAATTCAGTGTGTAGTTTCAATCGAATTAGGAGTTTAACCGGTTTCAAACCGGTTTGAACAGGTTGGTTTAACCACCTGTTTAACGGGCATTGCGAGATATTCTCTTATTATGTATGATCTTCATGTACAGTTTAACAGTGTTTAAATAAATCACTTAATGGTTTAACAGCCTCCCGTTTAACCTGCTTAATGGGTTTTAAATCTGTGATACAAACAGCAACGAAAGCTAGGCGACAAGATGGGTTTAACCGTTTAAGGTGGTTAAACCTGTTAATGGTTGGCAACCCCGTACGTTTAACGAAGGTCATCGTGGTTTATGGGTTCACGCCACTCATCAAACTTATAGATCAAACCAACGTATAAATCGCTCAGTGGAAAATGTGACCTGATAGCAAGTTCTTGATTTCGTCCGCCAGGTATAAAAGCTGAACCCTTTCCTCAGAAGAATTGAGCGGCACCGAAAATAAGCAAAGTCCACAGTACAAGGCACAAAAGTTTAAAATACTGGTCCGAGTCCGTGAGCTGTCTCGCTCGAGATGCACACGGAATCAAGGTGCTAAGCCAAAATTGGACTACTGGTACATTGAACGAACCCAACGATGCGCTGGTCTGTATACATGAATGTCCAAAATTAAGCAAAGGCGGGGCCGACGACCCAGGTGGTGTCGTTGTTAAACAACGCAGTGGCGTCGAAGAAGTCTGCGCCGCCGTTGCTCGCGGCGTAAAGAATGGCGTTGAAGTGTCGGAAGTAGTGTGCCGGGTAAGACCACGAGCGGAGCGAGTTGCCCTCCCCGTTGATGCCTGCCCGCGGGCACCACGTCGCATCCTCGTGGAACAGCTGCGAGCCGTCGTTCGCGTTCACGAACAGCTCGAAGCCCGAGTGCCGGATGAAGCTGCCCGGCGTGTCGCGGGACTCGAACGACACGCATGCGCTGTTCCCGAGCCCCGCAACGACGTTCCAGCTCGCAGACAGCTTGAGCGCGCTGGTGTCGCTCGCGGTGACCACCTGGGTGTTGACGGTTGCGCCGGTGTGGGCGATGAAGCGCGTCGTGCAGCACGCCGTCGTTGCACGGAGCGACACCGTGGAGCCCACGCTGACGGCGGGCCCGCTCACAAAGGAGGCGGCGGCGTATCCCGCCGCCACGACGTTGGACTGGACCGAATTCTCGGTTGCGTCGGCCGGGAAGCCGGAGGTCACCACGCCCTCGTAGAACGTGCCCTGCGCGCGGTTGCTGTTGTCCCCGCCGATCCCGAGGATGATCGCGCCTTCCTTGTGCATCGGGTTGTACCCGCCGCTGGGTCGCGCGCCGCTGAAGAACGTCGAGAGCGAGCCGGACGCTGCGTTCCCGCCGCGGATCGCCCAGTTGCCCGGCTCGCCTTTCACGACGGCCGTGACAAAGCGTGAGTTCATCGTCGGGTCGGAGGGGTTGGCGGCCGTGCTGCCTTGGGCGAACAGGCCGTTCTCGAGGTCAGCCATAATCCAGGGACCGCTACCGGCGCCACCGGGCCCCGCCGTACCAAAGTAGATGGCCTCCATGTGCCCGTTGCCCGTGTCATCTGCTGAAGTCTCCGCATTACCATAGTCGAAACAGCAGTCTCCGTTAAAGTGCGTGCCGTCGAAGACCGCGTACATGCCCTGCGCAGCGTCTCCCTTGAAGACAATCAGTACACGAAGGAATAGCATGAGATATGAAAGCAAACTCGCCACGGCGATGGAATTGGTGGCGTCGTTGCGGTAGCCAGTGCCGGGCGAGATGAAGACGCCATACGCCCTCTGACCGTTCAGCGTGACCGGCGCACCATCCGCAGCGGCCATATTGTCAAAGCCGTTGGGATCAGTGCCACTGTCGGCGCCGCCGGGGGGAGCGTGCGTGAGATGGTTGCCATGACCGGACTGGTCGAAGATTGTGGTGATTAGACAGGTTGTGCTGGCGCAGAAGGAGTCTTGCGCGGCGGCATTGGCAACGCCGCCTGCTGATAGCGGGCCGATGTTGGTCGTCGCACCGTCTGAGCCGCGTATAATTTGGTACAGGGAGCCAGAGTATGCGCTGAAAAGCGCCCGAGTGGTGCTATGGGCGGCGACGCAGGGAGTGCCCCCAGAGGCATAGATGTCGCAGGGCCCTGCGGCACCTAGCGTAGCAATAAGACACAACACGAGGAGTGAGCAGAACCGAAGCATCGCTGTGGGTGTTTCGTGAGTGGGGAGCGAGCATTTTTAAAGCATTGAGCAGCTGAACGTCGACTCTCACGGGGCCCAGGCGGTGCAGAGTTGAAGGGCGGCGAAGCAAGGGCTGACGCAGCGGAGGGGAGGAAGGCTCATCATGTGCTTCAGCGCACGCGGAAAACGGTAAACCTGGGAACTTTGTTGAATTTTGGTCATTGCCATTGGGGCGACGGCACCCTTAGCAGGACTATTATGTCACTGCATCAGCAGGTGAAGATGGACGCGTGGTATTGACCTTTGAAGCACACCCCCCGCCAGGCCACGCCCCCCTCCCCCTGGGAGCTTTGTTGGAGATACTTGTCTTGAACCCTAATTGGGCCACAGTGTCCATGTCATTTTGACCTAAAATGAACAAGATTCAACTCTTTTTCAAATTCGACTTTTGAAGCTTGAGGCCAAGGAACAAGTAACTTGTAAGTCCTATCCTGTGACGGCCACTGGCAGGTTCCCGGCCCAACTTTGCATGGGCTCGTAAGTTAATACTAGAAGCTGGAAGGCAGACTGAGATTGAGCTGGGATTGACGTGAAGTGATTGCGTAGGCTGATCCATACACGTGATCGCCGGACCACGGCGCAACGGAACTCCCGGCATTGACATAGACTTGGCGGATCTAATCGACTCCCGAATTTGGCACTTCTTCCAACCCCATACCAATCTGTTGCCATAGTGACACAAATCTGAATCCGCGTCACCTTGATTCGTCGACTCATCATGATGCACGACCTAAAGCTAAGGGAGTGGTGCGTCGTGATATTGGGGTTGGTGAAACTTGACACCGGGAGGGACCGCGGCCACCTTAGATTCGCAATGGCAATCAGCCTCGTCCCGCGAAGGGGCGCCGTGAGCGCAAGAGCACGCACCGCATCAATAAGGTCAAGCAGGACACCGAGGTCAAAATAGAAACCGAGAATGTCTGGTTACCGATCCAGTACAAGACGCGGCGATGTACGACAAAAGCTCCGTGCTCGCGCAGGATGAATCTATTTTGATTGACAGCGAGGACACTATGTCCATCGATAATGAATATGAGCTGGAGGAGGATGAGTCATGGATTCAACTGTCAACAACCTCAAGATTCTCGTGTTCCGTCTCACTTCTACATACTCAGAAGTCGGCGACGTCACACCTACTCTGCTTTTGGTTCGCAACGGCATCGACGTCCTCGGGGAAGATGTGGTTGACATGCACATTTCAGTGAGTACTGGAGGGCATTTTGCAAGAAAATTGCGTGGTTTGCATCCAGTCTGAAACTTGATGAGGCGAACTTGAAGTATGTTCTGTGGCCCACGTCATGACGACTGCCGTCACAGCAGGTACGGCCCATGCCATCACCACAGTCACCCACCCGCCGGCCGCACGTCCCGCAGGGCCGCAGACCTCCGCCCGGAGTCACCCGCGCCTGCCACAGCAACCGCGCTGTGCGTAGCAACATCCCAACTCTGCGGGACTCCCGGGAGGAACAACCAATATGTCATTTTGTCTTTGAAGAAAAAGAAAGAAAAATCCTCTGGTAGAATGTTAGGCTTTTAGAATCCAAAAGAAAAGAAAAGAAAAGATGAAGTGGACTGTGCCGGAATTGAACCGGCGACCTTTCGCACATGATGTTGGGGTTTTTGGAGTAATGCAAAGCGAACGCGCTACCAACTGCGCTAACGGCCCATACAATGATCCTTAATCAGAAGTCGATTACTAGAACTTACAAGGGGACAGTCGGCCTTCGGCTTCCTTCGGTGAAGCTATTCCAAAGTGCGGGAGAGGAATCAATCCGGAACACTTCGCCCTCTATTTCATCCTGATCATCAAGGTGCTGATTTTGACGGATGAAGGCTAGACGGGATTCCTCAGTCATACTCCACGCATCAATCAGATATTCACCTGATAGATGTATATGAGCAAGACGATGTTTATAAAATAAATACTCTGACCCATCTGACCTGAAAAAACACTCATCTGAAGTGCATTTATAAAGAAACGGGATCAAAACCACCGCATTTGTGAAAACTTGCGATTGGCATGCTTGACAGGATTTGAAATACGTAGATCACGATTGTCAAACGTCGAGCGCGTCAGGATCCACGGGGTCGCATGCGGCCGGGCAAGTTACCAGCTAAGGCACTGTATGGAGCAGGGGAGCTGAGGGCAGAGGGTGGAGAACAGGGACTCGTGGGGAGCACTTGTTTGAAACGCGCAAGCGAGAAACGGAACGTTGTTTCAAATACGGATCACGATGGACACGCGCAAGACACGGAACGCACGGAAGACGTAAACAGAAGCAAACAGGTTCACAAAAACGGAGTGCCAAGAGAACGGCGTAATTTTATAAGGAGTCTGATGAAGACTGCCCAAAGCATCCCGAGATGATAATGAGCACTCGAGTTAGGTCCCCCGAATTTACCCGAGACAATGACTAGGGAGCGTCGACTGCGTCCGAGTCGGTAGAGACAGTGACTTTGCTTGACACTTTTTATGCACATACATACAAATGGATGTAACTAAATTCAAGACAGCTCGGACTCCGTCAGAAGGGGCATTGCTTGACGAAGATATAAAATTTCCGTTCTTTTGATGTCGCGGTTCCTACTCGCGCTCCCAATGAGCCTGCAGCTAGCTACAGGTGTGCACTTTACGATCACAGCCACTCGTAAAGTGCACACCGCCGTTTTGGCCCGATTTTTACAGGCTCCCCTGCTTGCTAGCTCCTCCATTTGAGCATTTCCCATTGTTGTTCAAGCCATTCCAAGTGTTTCTGTAGAGCAAGATCCCAGGATTTAGTCATTGGGATCATGGTAAATACAGCTAAGTACATTTCTGACTTGTGCTGGGTGCATCTCTCCATCTCAGGCTACCTGGTCCTCCCTATAAAATTGTTAACCAAACCCCGGGTTTTACACTTGGCGACATTGCCCAGTGCCACGCGGGTTACCAATACTGTACTACATAATTCTAGAGCACACCTATTTTTTAACTGACGGACTCCCGAATTTGGCAGATTGATCTGCCAACTAGTCTACCAATCTGTTGCCATAGTGACACCGAGCCCACGACTTCGATCTACGAAAATGTTTTTGAATCCACGTTACCTTGATGTTTCCCTTTCGTCGATGCACGACATAAAGGACGAATGGCGCGTCGTCGTCCTCGGTGATCCCGGGGTTGGTAAAGCTGCACTAGCTGTCCAGGTGTGCACGCCCCGCGTCTCCTCATGTCTGTCCGGCGCTGACGAATGCTCCTCAGTTCATACTCGATTACTTCGCCGGTGAGTTTCCACATAGCTGCTTTCTGTTTTGACTGCCTACTGAATTGCTGCCCTTTCGCAGCCATTTCGATCATATCAGCTAAACAGACCTCCCACAACAGACTGACGATATTGATACGATATTTCAAGGTACATATTCTAAGACAAATAGGGCCGGCGAGCGGCAGGGCCCGCTACCTGCATGTATTGATAAACTGGCAAACAATATAACTCACTGAATTCTTAATAACAAGTTACTGCTAGACTCGCCCACGGGTGAAAACGCTTCTCGAATCTTGGCTCATATTAATTGTTTAATATGGGCTTCCTCCTACAACTTGCGTAGTCTCTGATATCGATGTGAGAAAGGTCTAGATACTCATCATCGGCTAGTGCAGTGCGTGTCGGAGTCTGTCTGTGGAAGGCGGAACATCACGAGACCGTGATCCCCGGCGTTGCCGTCACCATTGCCGCCGCCGGCCGGCGCTGAAAGTCGTCACGCGGCTGCAGCAGGTCTACGGGCAGACCAGGAAAAAGCATAAGGTGTATGGCACCAAGCCCATTAGGAAAAAAAAATGTGGTCAATGTACTACATAGCCAATATAGCACTCCGCGGCTTCTGTCCCTGTAATCATGGAAGAATGTGCTCGCAACCAGCCACGAGGAGCATGCTTAATATTATGTAGCTGTAACAAGTGTTCAATTTTGGTTTTGGTTTGTGCCTTGCCGCTTGCCGGCCATCGGGTAAGTATGATAGTAAGGACCCGTACCGTGTCCGCGCCGTATCGAAACAGATCTCGAGCTGTGACGGCACGGGCGCCGGGTCAGAAGACGGCCGTAATAGGCTGTACTACGGCTAGGCTTTGAAGAAAAATTCTGTCAAGCTAGAATATTCAAAAGTAGTGCAAAAGCTTGGAGGCTATTACTTCAGAGTACCAATGCAGCCAATAAGGGCTGAATCAAGCTTATGGGGTCAATACGGGGTAGTAGTCCGAGCAATGAGATTTGATCCGGGTAGCCGACGCCAAGGAGGTGGAGAGGCACATCGTGAAATAACTCGGTTGGCGCCACATCAGAGACGGCATTGCCCTGACGAGTCCGCGACACCGACGGGCCGTACCCGTGCCGATCACTAACTGTCCTCTGACTCTGGCTGAAACAAACAGCACCCATACGTTTCGGCCGTTTCCCGACTTTGAGTAACAAATCTTCGCGAGTTCTTTACGTATACATAACATCACATGTGATTCTCTGTTCTCTCACGCGTATGCCGCTCCAGCATCAATGCATCAATGATCCCAAATTTACGAGTGGAGAACTCTATTCAAAGCGGCTGATCAGTGCACCACTCCACGAAAGACGCGTACGGCAGACGCACTCAAAGTTCCAGTCCAGCGACGCGGGGACCAGCGATGGGTTGCTCACGGTGGTGAAGCCGCCCGTGTCGCCGGGCTTGATGCAGCTCTGGTCGAGATTAAACGCAAGGACGCTGGTCTGCGGGGTGTTCTGTGGCTCTGCCGAGAATGGAAAAAGAAAGACACGCACCACGTACGAGTAGGAGCACTGCAGTGTGGCGCCGCCGACGGGGTTCTGGTTGATCCACGCGTACAAGCACGTCCCGAGGGAGAACTCCTGCGCGAACTGGGGGGACACGGTGAACAGCGTGGGGTCTAGATGATTACGGGGTTCAGAAAACGTGCATGACGAACAGGGGGGACAGGTACCGCCTGGCTGCTCGTCGGCCGCCACGATCGCGGCGGAGAGCGCCGTGCAATCGCTCGAGAGCGGGCCTGTTCCTTGGTTGGTCACGCATGTGTACGTCGTTGTTTCTGCATCCTGCTTAGTCAGTCGCCGCACGCGCACGTACACGCGTCAAACGCACCGCCGGAGGCGCACGAGTTGAACACCAACCGCTTGTTGACGCCGACCGAGGTGAGGACGTCCGCGGAGCACGCTTTCGTCGACACCGTGAATTCATGGCCGCCGGCAGTGACGGTGTGGGATTCAACGAGCACGCGGTCTTCCGCTTTGCATGAGGATATGCCTCGGGCTTTAATGAGGTGGCGGGTAAGCACCCATTGGGACGGCGGCGAGAGGGGCACAAACCGGGTATGGTCGAGGACACGACCGCGGATGCGAGAGAAAGCAAGGCAACCAGGGAAGTAGACAGTTTCATGGCTAGAGATGTCTTCGTGAGGTCGACTGGGTTGAAACTAGGGAGGAACTTGGGCTTTTATACAAAATCCATGCACAGCTAACTTCCAGGTTAGGATGAGGCGCGCGGATGACAACGTTAATAATCTTGCATCTGTCTAGAGGGACAGAAGCTCTGACATGGTACCTGAACGATACCGGAGCTACAAGACACGAGTTCATCCATTGTTGAGCGTGCAGGCTGGGCCAAGACAAAAGTGCCAAACATGGCGGACTTTGGGAGTGCTCCGAAGCGGATCTCTGGCAGTCCTCAGGGCTTCGCATTCCTCAGGCTGTACTCCAGCAAAGCAGCAAGACGGACCTTGTGCTACCTTGTGGGGATCGTGTATTTGATTGATCTATATTTAAGGTACCGTGATGTCGAAGGCGGAGGCTTTCATTACGTGCACAGCTTAATCCTTAAGTGGGAAACCCGCCGGCGCTACGCATTTGCCGCCGGTGCCTTTCGGTTATGAGTATCCAGAAGGCACATGTCTCACTTAGCGTGGCAGGAGTGTCGGCAGCCGACACAAGGCTGTAGAAGCGGCGTTTCTGATATCGGTATCGGCTTGGCGGGTGGGGCAACTCTATGAGACTTGTTTAAATTCCGACTGTTCAACTTTGGTTCAACTGCTCCATGTACTTGGAGTGCAACTGCTGCCTGTTGCTGCTCCGAAGAGCACTTGTGGGCTTTCGGCGCCTACATTGGCCGCCGGGCGGCGTCTGTGGCGTTGACAGTGGGGCATGTTTCATTTCATGGGCGCACTGCTCCTCAATTCATTCCACTTGCTGTATGCTGGTTCCTCATCCGCGTCTGTATATCCTTCGAGTCATGGGGTTGGTTGGCATGCAACTAAAAGACGGCGCCGAGCTAGCCGCGAGGTGCCGAGCACTTACAGTAAGAGGATTACACCTGTTTCGGAAAACCTTGTCCAAGTGTTATTTTCCGCCTCATTTTTTTTTGGAGTTCTGATTCCTGATGACAGTACTCTATTTAGAGTTTAGCTTCGATGGGACTCCCACGGCATGCCAGTAAGTTATAGGCGACCCTTGGGCAACAGCTCACTGCAACCCATGAGCATCTGGCTAGCGGACTGCACAGACCACGGGAGGCGACGCAGGGGGTCCTTTTTTTGTCTTTCACCCATTATCCATTGTCCCACTGGCAGATACTGAAGTCTTTGATTTCTCTGTAATCCATTGTTATGTAAGGCACTGGCGGGAGAGGCGC